TTGGCCTAGGCCATTGACCCCGTCGGATATTAGGAGCTTTTTGGGCTTAGCGGGTTACTACCGGAGATTTGTGAATGAGTTTTCTTCTATTGCTTCTCCCATGACTAAGTTGACACAAAAGAAGGCTATGTTTGAGTGGACCGATGAGTGCGAAAGGAGTTTTCAAACCTTGAAAGATAAACTTGTGTCCGCTCCTATATTGTCACTACCGGATGGGCTTGAGGGATTTGTTGTGTATTGTGATGCTTCTAGAGTTGGCTTGGGTTGTGTCCTAATGCAAAATGGTAAGGTGATAGCCTATGCTTCTAGACAACTCAAAGTGCATGAAAAGAACTATCCTACGCATGATCTTGAATTTGCCGCGGTGGTGTTTGCTTTAAAGATTTGGCGTCATTACTTGTATGGGATACATGTTGATGTGTTCACCGATCATAAAAGCCTCCAATATGTCTTCACCCAAAAAGATCTCAACTTGAGACAAAGAAGGTGGCTAGAATTTCTTAAAGATTATGATATGAGTGTGCATTATCATCCCGGTAAAGCTAATGTGGTGGCAGATGCTTTGAGTAGGGTGTTTATGGGTAGCCTAGCTCATGTTGATATTGGTGATAGGGAAATGGCTACGGAGGTGCATCGGTTGGCTAGGTTGGGGGTTAGGTTGGAAGAGGTTGGTAATGGTGGTGTGGTCGTTGTTGATGGTGCTAGGTCTTCCTTGGTTGATGAAGTGATAGCAAAACAAGATCTTGACTCTTCCTTGCTAGAATTGAAGGCCTTGGTGAAAGAGGGCAAGGTGGAAGTTTTCTCCCAAGGGGGAGATGGTGCCCTTAGGTACCAAGGTAGGTTGTGTGTGCCTTGTGTTGATGGTTTGAGGGAGAAAATTCTTGATGAGGCTCATAATTCTTCCTACTCCATTCACCCCGGTTCCACCAAAATGTATAGAGATTTGATGGATGTGTATTGGTGGGGAGGCATGAAGAAGTACATTGCCAAATTCGTCTCCGGTTGTCATAGTTATCAACAAGTCAAGGCCGAACATCAAAGGCCGGGTGGTCTAACCCAAGACATAGAGATTCCTACTTGGAAGTGGGAAGAAATTAATATGGATTTTGTAGTTGGTTTACCCAAGACTAGAAAATGTTTTGATTCTATTTGGGTGGTGGTTGATAGAATGACAAAATCGGCTCATTTTCTACCGGTAAAGACAACATATGGGGCGGAAGATTATGCAAGGTTATATATTCATGACTTGGTAAGGTTGCATGAGATTCCTCTATCCATCATATCGGACCGTGGTACTCAATTTACTTCACACTTTTGGAAGTCCTTTCAAAGGGGTCTAGGTACGAGAGTTAAGCTTACTACGGCCTTTCACCCGCAAACGGATGGACAAGCCGAAAGGACTATCCAAACACTTGAGGATATGCTTAGGGCTTGTGTATTGGAGCTCAAGGGTAGTTGGGATGATCATCTTCCATTGATTGAGTTTTCCTATAACAATAGCTATCATTCTAGCATCGGTATGGCTCCTTTTGAGGCTCTCTATGAGAGGCGTTGTAGATCACCTGTTGGGTGGTTTGAGGTTGGTGAGGTGGCGTTGTTAGGACCAGATCTAGTTATGGAGGCTCTTGAGAAGGTTAGGATGATTAGAGAAAGGTTGAAGACGGCCCAAAGTCGCCAAAAGTCCTATGCCGATGTGAGGAGAAGGGCTCTTGAATTCCAAGTTGGTGATTGGGTCTATTTGAAGGTGTCACCCATGAAGGGTGTGGTTCGTTTTGGTAAGAAGGGCAAGTTGAGCCCAAGATACGTGGGTCCTTATAAGGTGATGAAGAGAATTGGCAAGGTAGCTTATGAGTTGGAATTGCCTAGCGAAATGAATTTGGTTCATCCGGTATTTCATGTGTCTATGTTGAGGAAGTGTGTGGGTGATCCAAATGCCATTGTGTCTCTTGATGTTGTGGGTGTTGTTGAAGATAATTTGACCTATGAAGAGGTTCCGGTCCAGATTTTAGATAGACAAGTGAAGAGGTTGAGAAACAAAGATGTGGCTTCCGTTAAAGTCCTTTGGAGAAATCAACAAGTTGAAAATGCTACTTGGGAGGCCGAAGCGGACATGCAAAGGCGATATCCTTATCTTTTCCAATCCACTCAAGCCTAAGGTATTAATTTAAGCCCTTTATAAAATCTCAGGTCTTAAGTTCAGCCCCCATGTCATTGCATACATTCATGTTTAAATTGACAAGTTCATTGTGGTTTTACAACTATGTTGAGGTTTTCGAAATAAGATGTAAGTGCATTGTTGCATCCTTATGTGGGCTGATATTGCCATGTTTGTGTCCCTCATGTACGTTTCTTTAACATTCGGGGACGAATGTTCCCAAGGGGGAGATATTGAAACGACCCCAAAAATGCCCGAAAATGTGCTTCGGAAACACCTATAATTGTAATTTCCATATATCTCAAAATCCGTGCATGATTTCAGAAATTCGACTTCATATTCTTATTCAGGGGGTAAAATTGAGTGGGAAATGGGTCTAACCCGAATTTTAGAGCAACCGTATCAAAATTTGAAAATCGCAAAAAAGCGATTTTCAGGGTCAACTTTAAAGAGGCATATCTCTTAGCACACAAAGAACTGGAAGGGCAACTACCTATTAAATTAAAGCCCTTCGAGTTATCTTTCCAATGCAATTGGTTTCACCTCATTCCGAGTTAGGATGAAGGAGTTATGATCATTTTCGTAAAACTTGTCCGGGCAGAATTGCAATTTCCAGTAAGCTACGTTATTGGTGAGTCCTCCATTCCGGGGACGTTGCTCATAATCTTTTGCTATGTATAAGACTTTTTTCTTTTTAGTTATGTTTTGACTATAAGGGTGAGCCCGGTGGCTTGTCTTGGCCCCCGCTAAGTACTCATGTTTAGAGGTGGTGTTGGACAAGTTGTGTTTTATGCTTGAGCTTGACTCATCTATGTTATTTATGTATCATTCCCTTTTTTTTTCTTGCTCCCTTAGTCCCGATTTCCCCTTGATTATGCTTATCGCTTATGGTCATTTTAATTGCTTCCGCGACCAAGGATGTGTAATGATATGCTATGAGGCTTGTTTGGGGTTCCTTCGGGTTCCCCATTCGCCGGTCACGTCTAGGCCCTAGGCTTGGGTCGTGACATGTTGTGAGTTGTATAAATATATGAAACTGTTGACTGTTTATTCGAATTTGTATATTTATACAGAGCAGGTTAGTCTTTATTTTGGATATTTGATTTTGTATATTTATAATACAATAGGTATATGTATATGTCAATTATTTTAGATTTGTCAATTGTGTATTTGTATAAAGCTTTAATTTGTGTATATAAACGTTTATATAAGTATATAATGGGAATATGTATATTATTGAAAAACTGAATTCGCTATAATTTGTGGAATTGTATATGTCTGAATGAACATTATACAAAAAGTATCCTTATACAAATGCAAAAACTTATACATAAAACAATGCACAAAACTGTATCAAATGTATAATGTTTATATTGTATATATATAGAAGTTGTTGTGACACCACTAATACAATAACTATTAATATTATACATTATACAACCAGTTTCAAATGTATAATTGTTTACCTTGTATGTATAGTTAAATAGTTCTATTTTATACATTTAACTTTGGACATTAACATAGTGACTATATAAAACTGTATAAACAAACATATAGAAGAGTAGAAGACATGAATCAACACAGAAAATATAAGAAAAATATAAAATCGTAACATATACAAAAATAATGATTATACGAATACATCATCATGCTCCAATGAGCCAGAAACAACCACTTCCTTTCTTTTTGCATTGTCATATGTATAATTAGTTGTTTTTTCTTTCCTTTTTTTACTTGACCCAGTATCAGACTGATCTTTCTTACCTCCCTCCACAATTTTGATGTTGGATTGCTTCGATTTTAGACTCATTTCCTCCAATTTGATTGGGTCATTTTTCAATTTGGATCTGATCTCTTGCATTGCGTCGGATTTGGACATTGAACTTGCAACCTTCCCAAAATCCTGAGTTAAACCCAAGGAAAACGATGGGTGTTCAACAATATTTTGACATGCAAGAGTATACCTCTTGTGAATCTTTTAGATGGAGACTGGCCATCCATTGTTTGAATGAAAACTCTGTATGGATTATGAACTGATGTGAAAAATAGCTTGAAAAAACTGAAAAAAATAGACAAATTTAAATTAATCGATTGAGATAAGTTTTGGCGGTACTTGAAATTTTTGAAGGGATTTTGAAACCGCGATTGAGAACGTGCTGGTGGAGATTTGAAATTTCAAACTGATTTTGGGGAGAAAATTTGGGAGAAATTGAAGGAAATAGGAGATATAAACGAGAAGAAGCGATTGTACAAAAGGGAATAACGTCAGTTTTTTTTTAATTTATACAAATCGATGGGGCCCATTAATAGCAAACTGACCAAGACTTTGCTCCTTAAAGGAAATAAATGAAACGCTAGCTACTTTATTTATTTTACATTAATAGTTTGTCATTATGTACAATTACCCCAATATTAATTTATGATGAAATATTAGAAAACAACTATTTTACTCCCTCCGTCCCTTTTTAGTTGTCCATTTTAGAAATGGCACACAGATTAAGCAACAATGATTAGCACAATGAAGTTACAATTTTACCCTTATGACAACTTTTCACTTCAAAATTACAACCACTTATTTGAATTAAAGTGAAATAAATTAGAGGGAAACAACATACACTTTTACAATTTTCAAGAAGTGTAAATAAGGGTATAATAGGAAAAAATTTGTTGTCCTTTTTTGATTTGTCAAAATGGACAACTAAATAGGGACAACTAAAAAAGGAAATATGGACAAGTAAATAGGGACGGAGGGAGTATAAATTAAGGACGAGACAAATATTGAAGTATTAAATTTACTTGAAACTATCGACTTGGCTTATTGAAGTTGGTGCCATGGCGATGGACTAGAGAAGAAAATCACTGCCCATCTATTAAGTCAAACTCCAATTGCTAATTTGGAAATCGAAAGAGACGATGGCGGACACACTCGCTGCTCTTAGGTCTTTAATGTCCTCTCACTCTCCTCCTCTTCATGCTTTGATTATTCCTTCCGAAGATTATCATCAGGTTTTTTCACTCTTTCTCCCTCACCTCCATTTTTTTGTGAGTTCATCGAACTTGCGTTTCAATTGCGTTATTGGATGACATGACAGAGCGAATATGTATCGGCACGGGACAAAAGACGCGCATTTGTCTCTGGATTCACCGGAAGTGCTGGTTTGTTTTTGCTTTTTCTCAATCACTCGATGTTGATTTAATAGTTGTATTGTTTTCGTTTGTGATTTCTGTTTATATCATGTGTGTAATTGAGTTGAATATTCGTCCTAGGTTTGGCGCTTATAACCATGGATGAAGCACTTTTGTGGACAGATGGCCGGTATTTCTTACAGGCAACTCAGCAGCTCAGTGACCAGTGGAAGCTCATGCGTATGGGAGAAGATCCTCCCGTTGATATCTGGATGGCCAATGTGACTATTCCTCTCCTTGTTCTAGTATATTCAGTTTGTGCTTATTCTAATCTATGTAAATCATAAGCTGATTATTGATCTGCGAAACAAACATATTCTACACTTTTTTCGCCCTGTCTTGCTTGTTGCTTAGTTTGCATAAAAACTGCTAGTGCATAGACTCATTGACGCCTAGTTGGTTGGTTTTAGTGATTAGTTAATCAATAGGTAAGTTTTGGACAAAAGTTCTACAGAGTTCCTACAGTATTTATGTTTTATTATATGTATATCAGCTGTGATGGATATCTCTCAACTGATTCAGACAATTGTTTATGGAAATGAAAAAAAGAAAAAAATGAAACGAATAATTGAAATTCCAAGTATTGTGTGTAAAGTTGTGTAATTATCTTTAATGTACTTAAATAGAAAATGTCTTTTGATTTCGTCATAAAAATGTCTTTTGATCTTATTGTTGATATATTAATCTTCTTGAAGGTTCTGTTCTTGTCAATATGTGCATTAAAACTTCCACGTAGAAGTGATCATTCCATCATTCTCCTTTTGGAATGACACCCCTTCAGATAATTCATGTACTATCCTACACTTTTCTTGCCATAATATAAGCTTCCTGTCTTAAAATAATCTGAGATCTTCTGACCTATTATATTTTAAAACTGTGAGTGCATTGAAGCTGAAATCTCAATCTTTTACTGTGGACTGCTCATTATGTATTCCAGAGCAAGAAGTCATATGGAATTGGCAAAGGTGTTTGAGTCCATTTTCTTTTGTCAGTTCTCATGGATCATATTTCAGCTTGATTCTCTTATACTTGCTATATCTTTATTTTCTACAGTCTCACTTTGCCTCTCTATAATTTACTCAGTAGATGTATAGTTTGTTTTAAGACTTTGGCAGCAATAACCGAATGATAATATAGGAATTTAGTCTGTCAAATTGAATTTAGTTGGAAGAGAATATTATTGCCTCATCTATTGTGATTTTGTCTCCACCCCTACTTGCAAGGATATGCTGTACCATTTCAACAATTACCCTACAATGTCCAAGTTTTTTCGTCTAGTAACTGTATCCTATACAACAAGGTTCTGTAATTATTTTAATCTGGAATTGCAAGCTAGAGGAGTGTGAACTTTGTGACCCTGAAGTTCAGCTGTTATGCTAATTTATTTTATGATGTGCTTTACTAGAATTTACCAAAGGATGCAGCCATTGGTGTTGATACATGGTGTGTATCAGTAGATACTGCGCAGAAATGGGAGTGTGCTTTTGCTAAGAAACAACAAAAGTTGGTACAAACAACTAGAAACTTGGTTGATGAAGTTTGGAAAAATCGGCTACCTGCCCAAGCAAATCCTGTAATTGTGCATCCGTTACAATTTGCTGGTCAGTCTGTTGCAGATAAGTTGAAAGAATTGAGGAGAAAGCTTGTACTGGGAAAAGCTCGTGCTATTATTATAACAGCACTTGATGAAGTAAATGTGTAACCATAGACCCAAATGCTTTCCATCTTATAGCTTTGTCTAATCTCGTCTTGGATATTCTTCATTTCTCCAATATTATTGCCAATTTATAGGTTGCATGGTTATATAATGTCCGTGGCAGTGACGTATCATATTGCCCAGTTGTTCATGCATTTGCGATTGTGACTATAGATTCAGCCTTCTTCTACGTGGATAAGCAAAAATTGTCTCCTGAGGTTGCGTCCAAATGGCATAATCTTTTCATTTTAAACTGAAAACAATTGCATTTTGTTACATTTTTTCTACTATTAAGTAAGCATGTATATACCATGCAGGCAAACTCTTACATGGAAGAAAATGGAATTATAGTGCGGGATTATGGTGATGTTAGCTCAGATGTGGTCCTCCTTGCATCTAATCAACTTACTTCTTGCTCCTCAACTAAGGGATCTAAAGGGAACCCAAAGATTGATGTTAGAAATGCCACTTATATAGGAAATACTGCTAGTCATGCTGTTGAGTTTGTAAATGACCTCATTTGGGTTGATCCTGGAGCATGTTGCTTCGCTTTGTATTCAAAACTGAGTGCTGATAAAGTTCTCCTTCAGCAATCACCTTTGGCCCTTGCAAAAGCTCTGAAGGTGATTAATACTACCCCAGAACTTACTTATCCCCTAAAGTTTGTTGTCTGAGCATTTTATGTGGTTGAAAGTCTCATAGGTCTTCAGACTGCCTTTGTTTGGTTGGATAGGGGTCAAGTAGATCAATTGTTCCATCAGAAGAAAAATAATAGCAAAGAAGTCCATGAAGACATTGATGGCCCAAGCTTGATCAGCATTTGTTGTTCCATTATTATGCATTACCTCTGTATGCTTTTCAACATTTTGAACTGAATCTATCTTAGGACCCTTGGATGTTTAGGATTGTTTATCTCATCAGTCCCGTCTGCGACCCTTAAGAATTCAAATTCAGCTTTTCTCCGGATTATTTCTAATTTCCTGTTGTATTTTTAGTGAAAATACTAATCATCATGTTTATATTGTCTGAAGTATAATATGGACCTGCTGATTCCTCCCCCTCCTTACCTCCTCTAAGAGTTCCTGAGTGAAATGACAAATCAGTGATCATAATTTTGATAACAAAAACTATTCATTTTGTCAGTAACACATTTGTTTGAGATGTAATTCAGCTCTGATTTTGTTGCATTTGTTTGGTTAACCAAAGTTTGTATATCAGTTCTATTTTCCTTGTCATTAATTGTTATATTTGTCTAATTGGTGTCAAACTATTTTCTTTTTGAAAAATGAAAATTCTGGTGTGAGCTTAGTCGTTCTTATCCAACTAATTTGACACCTTTAACTAATATTTTGTCGCTAACCACCAACTTCTGCTGTGGTCTTTCATCGATACAATTACTTTCTTCCAATTCCATGTTTACTCCCAACTATAGTTATTTCTGAAGTTATCAGACTGTCTTTACACTATGTTGCTCGGACTCTTCAAAAATGTTGATAGGTGCGTGTCAGATATTTCAAAAGAAAGTAGTGCATTTTGGAGAATCCGACACGAGAGCAGCAACAATATTGGAGAGTCTGAGCAACATAGGTCTAATGTACTACTTTCTTCATGTTTATGTGATTAAACCAAATCTGTCTTTGTCTTCTTCTGTCTTTTCCGCGTCTGCTATGATCTCTTCACTGCATGGAGATTGTAAGCTTTAATTTCCTTCATTTAATTTCTTTCTTGTTGGTATAAAAAAAGTGAGTGTTGTACTAGAACAATTTACTGCATGGAGATTGTAAGCTTATTACACCTACCATTTCTAAAAAAAATTATCAGGCTTTTGAAATATCATCTGTGTTTGTGATGTTACTTCTATTCTCAAGCTTACTGTTGATTGCTAAACTACAAAATTTTAATTTCTAGAACCCTGTTGAGATAGAAGGATTGAAGAAGGCCCATTTTCGGGATGGGGCAGCTGTTGTGCAATATCATGTCTGGCTTGATAAGCAGGTATGTCAGATTCTTAGAGTCAATCTTCTAGTAATCTTTGTGAGTTACTGCCGCCTACTGCATTTGCATCTTCCTTAGATTCTATAAGTATGTAGACATGTGTGTATGTATGTACTTTGTGTGTGTGCGGACGTCTATGTATTTATGTGTGTATGGTTTCTTTTTAATCTTTACACTAGTGACGAGTGTAAGTTGGTATATACCGATAAAGCCAAATATGTTGGGTTAGAAATTCTGTCCTATGTAAAACTAGAAGAGTAGATGGATATTGGATAATGTATCTCTCAGAAAAAAGATGTTATATCTACTTGCAATGCCTTTTTGCAAATAGTGTGGACTTTATATTTTTAGCAGGGATCTCTTCGCTTTTTAGGTGCAGAAACACTTGATTCAAGCTATTCATGGTTTCAGTAGTTTGGCAAGATGAGTTTCAACCTTGTTCAAATTTTCCAGATGCAGGAAATATACGGGGCATCTGGTTATTTCATGGAGGCTGAAAGTACCAAACAGAAGAAACAACTGTAAGTTTTTCTGGTTTCTTGTACTATTTCATGTTTTTGGCGAGTCGGTACATTCTAAGAATTGATCTGTTATAGGATGCTAGTTCAGGACTTAAAAAGGAATTAGTCTATTAGAGCTAGCATCTTTTGTTGATAGGAAGATGCATTATTCAAGAAGTGATTTCTTGATTTATTGTCTGTGTAGAAGGTTATTCTTGTGGGCTGTGTGGATTTGAAAAGCTTGTAACATTTAAGACTTTGTTTTCTTACCAGTTAACTTTCTCAAAAAAAAAAAAGACTTTGTTTTCTTAAGATAGAGCCAAGACTTTTAGTGGCCCTTGATTTTCTGAAGGAAGCTTCTGCAAGTTACTGATCTTCAGTCAATAGTTAAGTGATTTATTGAGGAACTTATCATGAAGCATGTGATATATTATACTGTTTTCCTTAGTAGTGGGTCCGTGTTTTGTACCTTACTTTTTGTAATAATTCATTATGTTAGGGGGACTAAAAGACTGACAGAAGTCTCTGTGAGTGATAAGCTGGAGGAGTTCCGTGCATCAAAGGAGGTAAATGGTTGTATTCTGATGAAAATCTAGCATGAAATTTGTTGTCTTATACTCTTATCACTCTATTTATGTATGAGTTATCATCATCTAGGTTGTGAGCTGATGACTCTAGAGTTTATTTCCAGTTTGTTGCTTCTGTTTTACTGCAATGTTGTTGTTTCCAGAACCACATGATATGCTGATTTTGACTCGAGCTCTGTCCAGTTACACGCTGGCATATTTTCTCTATCTTTATTCTTTAAAATATACAGGAGCAATAATATCATTTTTCTATTGTATCCGCATTGCAAGTGAGTGTATTGAAATTTAAAAATAGATAAGTAAGGGATGGGAAAAAAAAAAAATAGGAGGTAAAAAGTACGAGTACGTATTATCAAAATGTTAATAACATGTATCAGAAGTACTTAAGATACTTCGGGATAATATGTTTAGTTGCTTCGAAGTCTTTGCCCTGAGCTCTTCCAACAAGTGCAGCTTGGTTCCTTTTCTGATGGTTGTGATCTTTCTTGAATTATAAAGAATAAAGAATTATAAAGAATCTTGTTTTCTCAACAATAGTATCACCATTATCTTAATGTAATGGGGTAATGTTGCTCCTCTACATCTGCAGCATTTTAGAGGATTAAGTTTCCCAACTACCTCTTCTGTTGGCTCAAATGCAGCCATTATCCACTATAAACCTGAGGCAGAAACTTGTGCTGAACTCGATCCAGATTGCATTTACCTATTCGATTCTGGAGCACAGGTATGTGAGAACTGAGAGCATATATTGGGATTTCTACTTTGCATACTTCTATATTTAACATGTACTCTTTCTATATATATGATGGTGTTGCTGAAGTATCTGGATGGAACAACTGATATTACACGGACTATTCATTTCGGAAAACCTTCTCCACATGAGAAATCTAGTTACACGGCGGTATGTGAAAAGTTTTATGCATTTTTATGATTCCAAACAATGTTGGCTATGCACGATGGAGTGAAATTTTATAATGAGAGTTCTGATTTCAGATTACTATTGCTGATCTAATCTATGTCCAGTCTCCTTCCACACTTGGTCACACTTCCTTTAGATCATCCTAGAAGCATTAATCCATTTTAAGCCTTGATCAGAGAAGCTATTGGAGGCATTATTATCCTAGAGATCTCTAGCTCTTTTATTCCAGTGCTTGTATCGTGTAATCCTTCTTATTCAAGTCTTAACATACATGCATTACATATGCTTTCCTGGGGGAGATTCTCTCTCTTTGCAATGAATGTTGATTGAAATCCATAAAAATTGAAGAGCAAAAAAAATTGTCTTGTGAGTAAACAAAGCAACAGTAAGTCGAAACTTTTCTGTAAAATGCCTTCGTTATTCTTAAGGTTTTCTTTTCTGGTTTATTTTTTGTGGGGTGACTGAGAAAGGATAATGATTGCTATACTTCGAACAGTTTTTTTTTATACATATGCATGTAGGTTTGTCTTCTATGCTGGTTTTTGTCTGTGTGATTGATTCTTAGAATCTTATACTGGAAATTTTTGTTCTTTCCTTATCACAATACTGCTTTAATGGCTAAAAGGTTACTTTATTTTATGTAGGTTCTTAAAGGACATATATCTTTGGGAAACGCCAGGTTTCCTAACGGAACCAATGGTATGATTATGTGGCATAATGATACTCAATGTCTGTAATTTACTAAATTTTCTTCAGTGGTTGTTAGATGTACCAATGCCTAAATCCACAGGCTATTATTCAGAGGCGTATGCTTACCATTTTCATTTCATTCAAATGCTGTGGTCCAAGATAGTTCGCTTATCAGAACATTGTGCTTGACTACTCTTGATAGGGCAAGCTCTTGACATTCTTGCTCGAATTCCTTTGTGGAAAGATGGTCTTGACTATAGGCATGGTACTGGACACGGGATCGGGTCTTACTTAAATGTCCATGAAGGTAAACTTGCCATCATGATTGCAGAGGTACTTGTAAGGAGATATTTATATTTACATTTAATTTATTTTTGGCAGGACCTCATAATATTAGTTTCAGGCCATCTGCACGGGATGTGCCACTACAAGTTTCAATGGCTGTAACAGATGGTCAGTAGCATCTTATTACATTACGAGTTATAAAGTAAACTTTTCCTTAGCATGATTGATGCCTCTGCATACTTGAATGTATTTTCACTCTTAACATGGATTAGTGGGTTTGTCATGCTTCTTTATGAAGGATGTGCATTAGTAAATATCCTATCCTAGCATTGTCGGTCCTGAATTTGCTTACTGGAGATCTACAACTTACAGAACTGATATGATCAGGGAAAATGTAATATTCTTTGAGTTATACTAGTAAAAGAATGGCCTGTCAATAAAATTAGGATAAACCACGTCATACCGTCATGTTGTCCAGCTTGCTCAATAATCTAATAGTTTTACCTTTCTAGTTGCTTCTGCACATCTTTATAGTTTTCTTGTTTCAGCTTTTCAGAGTTTGAACATTCATATGGTATTTTTCAGAACCTGGTTATTATGAAGACGGGAACTTTGGTATAAGAATAGAGAATGTTCTTATTGTCAAGGAGGGCAATACGAAGTTCAACTTCGGTAATAAGGGCTATTTATCATTTGAGCATATAACTTGGGTAAGTTTGTAAACACCATGTTTTATGTCTATTTACATATGTGATATGCATCTACCTGGATGTTCTAGATGTACAAGTGTGTGGTGCGATTGCACTTTTGCAGTCCAAGAGGAAGCAAGACATTCTCTGTCCTTTTCCCTTTGTATCTTTTTTAAAACTTGGACTTTCACTTTCTTATGATAGATATGTCACTTCCTAATTCTATAGGGTGGAAGTGTAATGTGTCATGAAGGTAAGAATCTTGTTTGTTAATGTAGGCACCGTACCAGAGGAAACTAATTGACGTGAGCCTTCTGGTGCCTGAAGAGATTGAATGGTTAAATGAATACCATGCAAAATGTAGGGAAATTCTTACTCCTTACCTGAATACATCTGAGATGGAATGGCTGAAGAAGGCTACCGAACCCATTGCAGCTTGACATGCCTCATTTGTTAGGGGATTGGAGTTGAGGTTAATCAAAGGCTACTGATCCTTTTCCAGCTTCAGCCTTCAAACTCTTAATCATATGTAGTTAAACCATGTATTTGCGTTAATGTGTGCAGGCATTTTACCATATTATTGTTGCCTTGTGGAGATGAAAGATTTAGCTTCTGTCGATTCAAAACGGGGTCAGCACATTTTGAGAGATCTGTTGGTGCACATCAAGAAGATGCGACAAGTCTATGGTGCGTTTCGACAGAGTTAATATCGTAATTCATTTTTGCGGGCTCGCTTGTTTTATTCATCCCATTCCCCTCACTTTGTTTTATTGTATACAGCTCCCATTATCTTTGAACTCTTTCATTAATTGGTAACAACTACACCAAATCTCAAACAACTTTTAATGGGCACATAAAGTTTTCTAAAGGTAAACATACAGCTGGAATCTAATTTAAAGTCCTTAGCTTTTAACAAAAATTATTGTCAAACGTAACTTCATAAATTTTAAAAAATACTTATCTATGTGACCAAAAGTCGCATTTAGAGGTCAAATTTAAACTTTATGCGTATGTATCCTATAATGAATCATCTTGAAATAGCTGGGAAGCTTAGCTTAGTGGTTCAAATTTTTTCTAAGGTTGTTGGTTTGGTTCCCCTATATATTAGTATTTCCATCCCTAGTGTAAACGGTTTAAGATTATTTTTGTTCTTTGCCGTACTAGGCATGACAAGACGAGTTAAGATTAATCTTTTTCATAATTTGAACCTCTTTGATGAAAATTATATCTAATCAGTATTTATAAACCAATTTAACGAGCGTAGTCAAACACATTGTTTATACTCTTAACAATCAACGATTAGATATACTGATCATGACGGTATTTGTCTGAACACTTCAATTAGTTACATGTCATCTTCACAGTTACGTTCACACCCAAATATTTCAGATTATGTAAATTGCAGTCCACCAGCTTTATTTCAAGCATGTGAACTATTCTAGATGGGCACCTCTGACGAAAAGCACGTGAAATAAAGTATTATGATATGATAGGCATTTCTAAACATGATATGCATGCATGTTTACCAGAAATATTAGGCAATTCTTCTTTACTTCTTAATCATTTTCATTTTTTGTGATAATTATTTAGTCTTGGCATCTCCATTTTTAGATCTCTTTGGAAGAATGATCAATTTGGTCTCTCATGTTTTAGATTTGAATAAACATGTTAAATATTAGGCGGAATGATCTGGGAGGCCCTCGTACTTGGCTCCATTTGTAAGTTGGACCCTTGTACTTGTGACTTTGCCAACTGAATCCTTAAACTCATTCAAACACAATATTTTAAATCCCTTTCTCATCAGATGTGTGTGCGTATTACACTCGTTTTACACATGAAATTTCTCGTTATTTTTTAATGATGTATCAATAGTATTATTATTTTTCAATGACACATCAGAAATTAAATATTTAAAATTAAGTAATATCTTTTTAAAAAAGGTGCAAATTTTTCTCTCTCTCACTCTACTCATTTTCCATATTCAACTTCATCTTCTTCCTCCCCACCCTCTACCCTTCACCCCAAAAATAAAAATCACCATTTTTTGTCTTTTTCACACTCAAAATTTTTCTCAATGACAAAATGTGATAGATTATAATTAGCTCTTACACATATTTTTGGGTTCTATTTATTGAGAATTGGTAAAAAGATAAATCAAGAAAACTTTAAATTGAAAAAAAAAAATGTTTATAAGTAAATTCAAGCAATAGATCTTGAAAAATTAAGTTTTAAAAAAGGTGAATGAGATATTTTTTTTTAACAAAAGCTTTTTATTATGATTATGGTAATGGGGTGTATGTCAAAAGAAGAAGAAAAGAAAAGGGGTGGGGGCGGGAGTGGGTGGGTGGGGGGTCTGGGGCTGAAAAGAAGAGGAAAAAGGTGGGGCTGGGGCTGGGGCCGGGCTGAAGAAGAATAAGAAGAGAGAAGGGGTGGGGGTGGCGATGGGTTGGGTGGGCTGAAGGAGTTTTTGATTATTTTAAAAAAAAAGTTATTATTATTATTTTGTCTTATAATTTTGAGATTTTTAAGATAAAAAAATTGTATTCACTTGCTTCAAAACGTATGTGATAACGTCTTTGTCCAACTCAACCATTTTAAAATAAGCTTGGTCAATGGTCAGAGGGTTTAAAAAATAGAGTTTCATTATGTTTAAGAGTTCATTTGGCAAAGTAACGAGTATAAGGGTTCAACTGGCAAACATATACAAGTGCAAGAGCCTCTCAGGTCATTCCGCCTAAATATTACTAATTGATTTCCTAATGATCAATGTAAATCTTATCATTACCCTTTCTACTTTTATTCCAGTAGCATCGGACATCTGCTGTAACTCTTCATCATCATCATATATATATATATATATATATATATATTATTATATTATATGACAAACTTGGCCTTAAGAGATGGATTTTTTTAATGTACAAAAATCAGAAATGCAAACCAACCTATTGCAAAAAATATTGCAAGAACCGACCTTGGTTTTACCAACCTCGGCTATTCAGTTTTCACTGTTTCCTTAAGTAATGGTAACTCAAGGAAGTTTGGACAAAATGTCACCTTTTGTAACTTTTTTTTTGGGTTGATATCTGCAGGTTGGGGTCTATACCTAACCATCCAGCGGTAGGTGGGTTTATAAGGGGAAAAAACTTGTACTGACGTGGCTTAGCTTGTGCTAGTGAATATTCTTAATTCAGTAATTTCCTTCAACCACGCATCAACTTTATAACTGGTCTCAAGATTGCTTGCAAGCGATTAAAGGAGAATAAATTCACTGAATGATATTGCTTTATTATAGTGGTAAATTCTATTCGAAGCATGCATACTGTAAATTATAGTAGCACATAATAAACAACAAAACATAGACCATTTTAGGGTAATAAAAATATATATAGACCTAATCACTCATTATCTTACCCTTTTTAGATAGTTTACTCACACATTAATGTTCTTGTAACCATGGATTGATCTCTTCTCAATGTCTTTGAGGACTTGGCACATTGAATCATGAGAGGAGCCTCCTACACTTAGTGCTTTCTTTGCACTCATCTTCAGTTTCTTCACATTTTCCTTCAATTCCTTTCCTTCTTTATATTGCATTACCATTCTCACCAATTGCTCTATTTCTTCCCTTTCCGCCACTTTCTTTGTTGGCAATACCTTTGGCCTAACAGCCACTCTAAGTTCCTCCGTAAGCATAGTGGCATTTTGCCGCTGTTCAGCATATAACGGCCACGCAATCATTGGCAAACCATTTGTTATACTCTCAATGCTAGAATTCCATCCACAGTGGGTCAAAAATCCCCCAACTGATGGGTGGCTCAAGATTCTTGTTTGATCCGTCCACATCTGGATCACCAATCCAAAATCTTTTGTCCGTGTTAGAAAACCTTCTGGCAAGTACTCAGGAGTGTTGTCGCCCCGATTTCCAGTTGTGAAAAATGACTTGTCTGCACCGACCTCTGACGGTGGCCTCACCACCCAAATGAACTTCTGATGACTTAACTCTAACCCAAAAGCTAGCTCAGTTAACTGTTTTGACGAGAGGGTACCACCACTCCCGAAAGATATGTATAGCACTGAATTAGGAATTTGTTTGTCCAACCAATTTAGGACAGAATTGTTACCATCAATGATTTGTTGGTCGTGTCTAATCAACGGTCCAACCGGATAAACCGGTGACTTCACGATAGCTTTTAATATATCATTTTCTCTTAACGCTTTGAGTGAACCGGTCTCCGCGTCTTCCCAAGTGTTTATCAAGATCCCATCCGACAAACAGAACCCGGTCCCAAGTACTTTCAAGTACTCGCGATAATCCTGTTCGTTGCGGTCCAGCATTGGATCGTTGACGTCTTCCGGTCGAACAGGTTTGCAACCTGGGATTTTCAACGGCTCCTTCTGATCTACATATTGACCCTCAATTTCTTTGTCAAGGACCGGACAGTAGACAGTCATAGCAGTAAACCATGCATTCGTTGGAATATAAACATAATTAGGTAATCCAAGTTCTTTTGCAATTGACAAGGCTTCAGTAGTGAAAATATCAACAATGAGAGCGTCCAGAAGATGCTTCATTGCAAATATCGCGGACTTAACAACATGCAACGTTTCACGTACAAGTATGCAAAGTTGAGTGACTATTTTTGTGTTGGAATCAATAAGGTTGGATATATCTGCACCTGGTATTTCAACTACATCAATCATCTTCGATTTATTGGCGGATTTGAGAATCTCAGTTTCAGCCAGAGAGCTGCCGGAGGTGATAACAAAAACAGTGACAGAGACGTTATGGAAGGTGGCGAGGCGGTTGGCGAGGGTTACTACAGGGATGATGTGGCCTAAGCCTGGACTTGAGAGTATACCAATATGAAGTGGTTGTTTTGAGCTACCCATAGTGATCAAAAGAATTTGTGAATTTTGGTATAGTAGAGAATAAGATGAGATGAAGGTAATAAAAATGAAATTAGTAGATTGATATATTTATAGAGCATGCAAATGCAATGTTTGTTAATGACTTTTTCACGTATTTATTTGCGAAGGTTGCGAGTGAGGGGTGCTTACCATCCGAGCAACTCCCTCTCGTCATTTCACAGTTATTAACTTACTATATATAATTAAAAAATAACAACAATTCATTCTTTCCATAGATGAAACAAAAATGAACCCGTCTAGCCATAATATTTTCTTTCTAGGAAATTTAAATGTATTTCAAATTTGAAAAATAACAAATAACATGTTTTTTAATACACTTTTCATTTTGAAGATGTATTTCAAATTTGAAAAATAACAAATAACATGTTTTTTAATTCACTTTTCATTTTGAAGATGTATTTCAAATTTGAAAAATATTTATTGTGTATATATATATATATATATATATATATATATATATCAAATATTTTTTGCAAAAGTTATAACCATATGCAACTTCATAAATTTTGAAACATACTTGGAAATATATTAATTAAGCAAATGCCTTCCCTTTCCCCCATGGAAGCAAATTCCAACTAAACAACAATTTATATTAATTAAGACGGGGAGAGTTTTGACTCAACTAATTAATGACACCTTTTCTAAGTTGCAATCAAGCATCTGCAGTTGTAAAATGTCCAATAAAGAGTTGTTATTA